CATCTAGATAAGCCTATAGGGAGGACGATTATTAATAAAGATAAATCGGTCAAAGCTATAGAAGTGAGATAAGTATAAATTGGCCATTTAAATGCTTTTTGACAGAATATAAAAATGTTTAGAAGGTTTAGAACTATTCCAATTGAGCAAATAGTTGGTACGACGTATATATATCCAATGAGTTCAGCACTTTTTGCCACTTCGTTGGAATATACTGCAAAAACAAAATTGAAAATAATAAGAATACAAATATGCTTCCATAAATTTTGAAATGATATGTTCTATATCTAACATTCTATTACATCCTTAGAACATTCGCCAAAGCTTATGTTTAATTCCATTGAATTTGCCATTATGAATGACTATAAAGTTTGACATAGTTTTTGTATTTTATGATTTTGGACGAATATCTTATTGGATGCAGTAAGTGTTTATCAAATAGATAAGAAAAAGCGTTTCCCGCTCATTTATCACCATAAAATACATTTGGTATGATTATTTTATTCATAGGCTTAAAAATTTTCCTTTATTTCTAGCTAAGGTATTAATGAGAAGAATGCTACTAGCATTGCTCTTACTAACTTTCCAATAAATCGTTAGAAATATAATTTCTTCCCCTATTCCGTTACAATATAGTATATTTTGTTTTTTATTTCTGTTTAAGAATTCACACAGTATAAACACACACGTATATATACAGAAATTCAAATATATATATATATAGATATATATATATGTATATAGATATCATATTAATGGTTTTATCAATTCTGAAACAATATTCAAAGCAAATTTTAATAGAATCTAGTTTTTAAACTTGAATTAATTAAAGTTTATTGCTCTTTATCACCGATATTTGAATGCCAACTTTCTTCTTCTTTCGCATTGAACATAACAGTCTTAAGGATCTTACGAACTGTTCAATCGATAAACAATAAATTAAAAAGTTGCAGCTAGAAGAAACCAATTCCAAGAGGTTACTTATAAGTCTGAAGATGAAATAGGCTCGTTTAAAAATACTACATTGTCCAAATAACGATTTATAAACTCCATTTTGAACAAAACAATCGGGTATGTGAGAAATTAGGAATGCTATGGAAACCCCAAAGAGCATAATACTAATCTTATACTGTACATTTGCCGAGTCAGTTGTATGTTCAATTTCAGAACGAGCTTTGTATAGAGCTACTACAAGTAGAACATTAACCAAAATCACAGCTATAACTGGTATGAATTTGGCAAGAGCAACTCTGATCCATGAAAATATTGTAAAACCTTTAGATTGTCCAAATGAAGTATAAGTTAATGTAGCGTCAACTTTATTAAGTTTCTTATCAAAGAACAGAGGCAGGTGTATTATAATTGAAGTGGTAACGATTAAGACTAAAGAAAATTGAATAGATATAATATATATTTGATATATGCAGAACCTATATACTGTATATACTGTATATGTATATCTTTATATATATATTAGTATATACATATATAGATATATGTTGTTATCGATAGATTACCGCTTATTAATCTCGCTCTAAATGCACTATTTGAGTTCTTTGCCAAGACTCCTTTTCTAATATAAATATAACGTTCAATCGTGACAGCAGCAGTTATCCAGACGCTTGAAGTTCCAGCCATATTTGAAAAAGGAATAAACATGTACGTTTCGTATATTTTCTTTCCAAGTATATTAATATCAGCTTTCAACTTGCAGCTGTTGAGGAACGTGGTAAAGTACTATTGAAATTAGCGTAATGGTCCTACAAATTTTAACTTAATAATTAAAAACTTAATAACATACCTTGAGCATCTGGCGAATCCGATAGGAAGAACAGTAATTAGAAGGACCAAATCGGCGGCAGCCATTGTTGTAAGATATGTATAGCTTGGAGATTGAAAGCCTCTTTGAAAGAAGATAATTAAATTAAGAATGTTGAAAGAAATACCAATTGCGCAAACAATTGGCACTAGGATGACGTAACCGATATCCTCGGAATTCAATACAACTTGATCTTGCGAAACTGTATTTTAACACGTTTATTATAGAAAGAAAGAAAAAAAGACAGAATGAATGAATGAAGAAGATTGAAGAATTAAAGGAATTTTATAAATTACTAATAAAAGCTAAAATCTACAATTCTTAAGATTCTTCAAATTAGTATTATAACTTTAAATGTACCTTGTTTTCTTTCCTTCCAGCAGTTTGTGTTATAGCTGGAGTTGTTATTAAAAAGTAATATTTGTAAGCCTAAAGAAAGCATATCCTCAGGCATAGCTGCTATTAAGAGAAATCTGTCCTGATAAAACTTTTTTAATGAACGCTTACACCTGCTTATCATATAGATAATGATTGTTTTCTTCAATACAATTTATCAAACAGAGTGGACAAATGTAACTTGAGATTGAATTGTTTACGCCCGTTTATCATTCCTTCAACAAGCACCTTTCCTCTTATAAATATGCTTTTACTTGGAGAAATAGTTTTCCTCTTATCAGAAAAATAGCAAAAACAAAAAATATCATATTTTTCTTGTTTATTTTGTTTAGCTGATGGAAATATTTGCTGAAAATAGATATAATTATTTTCCATTCCCTATCAGTTCTATATATAGTATGTATAAAGAGAAGGAGAAGGAAAAAAAATACGGGTGGGAGAAGGGGGGACAGAGAGATAGATAGAATGAGATGGATAGAAAGATATAGGCGTAAAGCAAAGAGAGAGAGAGAGAAACATAGTTGAGGAGATTGGGTAAGGGGTAATTAGATAGTTGTATTTGTAATGATTTAATTATGATCTTCAGATCTTGAAGATAAACAAAAAATATTTCTGAAACAAAAATATCGGGCGTGGTAAGAATTAAGTACATTACGCAGAGTGAGGGAGGGAGGGGGAGCAGAAAAGCTTTCTATATTATATATTGTATCACGTGCTCTCGTTGAAATTAGTCAATAGATTAGGGTTATATTGCAAATACCATTTGTACGCTAATATTCGGAAAGGACTAACTTAATAAATGATGTATAAAATAAATAATATTCATATTTTCTTTATAAAATTATTCAAGACCTCATTAGACTAATCCTTCTTTGTTGTTTAGTTCAAGTTGTTGTATTTATTTTATATTAAGTAAAATCATTATCTGTTCTCATAAGTGAAAGAGCATTAATTTTGTTTAGCAAGTTTATTTTCGTTGAATAGAGATGAAGTGTAAAAAAACACACATAAAAGAAATATATTATTAGGAAAATTATCTAAAACATGCGATATTCATTGAGCTTTTAAGTTGAGTAGCAAGTATAACTTTCTAATATGAATACACTGTCATACTAAACCCTGTTAGCTTTTATGTTTTGCAAAGGTTTTGAAAGAAAAGAAGCCTTCTTATATTTCTTACCCGAAATGAAAAGATTTTTGTTATACACTTGTAGTCAAAACTTATAATTTATGGACAAATGTAAGTTAATATTTTAATTCAACTTCAATAAAGCTTTCATTATGTATTGTTTTATTTTAAATTAAAACAATATATTTAATGTACACAATGGTGTACAATGCATAGTTTATAGTGTATACGTATTATTATAACAGTCTATACGCTATATTAATTTGTACATCATTCATATACGCTATGTAGTATCCAACAGCTAGAAGAACACTCCTCCCTCTTTGTTATTTAAATTCTTTATTCATTCTCTTTTTTTTTGACTAAGAGGTTTCTTCTCTTACTACGCATCCAGGAAGTTGTCAATTGTTGTATAATTGTTCAATTTCCTCTTTTCTCTCTAAAGGGAAGAGGAGTGGTCGCATTCCATTGTCAATCTAAAACGGTTTCATTCTACTGAATTATTTAAATATTTAAAGTATTTAAGTTATTGTCTATCTAACTCAAGAAGAAATTATCGTTATAAATAAACACCTAAATATTAAAGTATGTAGTAGAATTTAAATTAGAGAAAAGTCACCAAATGCCATCTAACCTGAGTCGGCTCACATGGAGTTAAATATAAGGCGGCTTTAGTTGTATTGTATTGTATGATATAATACTATACATTTCGCGACATATATACTTGTTCCTTTCATAACAATACCCAATTAGGTAAGTCGTCTAGAGGAAATTCTAATTTCCTTATCGGTTCTGGTCGGTTAGCTTCTAAAGAGTTTTCAAAAACACCTGTCATTCGCAACTACCTGCATTGCTTTTTGAAAATAGAGCTCAAGTTTAGTGTAACTTTCTAGGAATTACATGAAATACATTATTTAAAGTTGAGACTACAGGGTTAGCATTCTTAATAGAAGAACTATTAAATTAATCTACTCGTGTTTAGATAAAGTACACACGACAATGGAATGAGTTTTGCAAAATGTTTTGTATAAGTCGTCTTTACAAATTTAATTAACACTACAAGAGGTTTGGCAATATGGATAATTTCTCTTAAATTATCAATTGTCCACGTGTACAAAATAAGTATAGACAGACAACCGGTTGCTAAGAAGATCATATTTTCAAGGGCAAATAAAAGTTAACTCTTTCGATTAACTTTAAAAGAGAAGAAATGTCCTATTTAACATTTTGGACTATGTCTAATTGATGACCTTTCCTATGACGCTATTGTTCAATATTCATTCAAATAATTATGACAAAAGAAAAAATAAGATGGTAACTTTAATTAATAATTGAATGAATATGAAATTTCTATTTTAATATGTAATTGTTGATATTAAAATACAATAGATAATTCACGCAAGATATACATAAAGGATTTATAAATATCTACTTAATTAAAATTTCACTCTTATGAAAATTAACATGAAATTTCGAGGAATTGAATTCTATTAATAAGCTCTAGAGTTAATTCTGTCTGGTGTTTTTTTCATTCTTCTTCTCAGGCTTTCCGAATAAACGCTATAACACAATCATTTAACATTCTTCGTCTCCTTTGTTTACTGATTTCACGATAGATGTCAGCACTAGTCGATATTTTTCGTGTACGTTATCCCTATTAGATTTATTTTTGTAGACCGCATAAAAATATCGTTAATTTATTAAATTAATGCATAAAAACTTTCAAATTGATAATTCACATTTTTGCAATCGGTGCTAAAGAAGATAACCTTTCGGAGAAAAGTTTTATTAATTAATTGATTGGAATTATAAGCCACTAAATTTTTATCGACAACAAATCTAACGCTTTCTTTACTAAATAGCTCAATTATCGCCCACACGTGTTTACGCTGGAGATGGATACTATCTCGAAATTAAAGAATTTGTCTTTATCTAGTAAGGTTTCTGTTTCTTTGGAAGTTCCAGATGAAGATTATGTTCTACATATAGACTCTCAACCAGTGTTAGTTTTGACTTTGTCAATATTAGCCACTGATAACCGATATAATCTACCTTTCTAGTAAAGAGTATGGGGCGAGCGCCAAAGTAGCCGCAAGTAGTTCCAATAAGACGGTCTGCGTTTATAGAAGAAATGATTTAATCTTACAAAAATCGTACGGAAACTTCGATAAAGTCATAGTCGATGTAAAGTTTATAAAAAACGATTGGAATTTATTATACGCAGCCTCAAAAGATGGAAGGATAAGGTAAATAGCTTTAAATATCTTAAATAAGTTATTGACAAAGACAGAAACAAATAAAAGAAGAAAGAAAGAATTCAAATATACAGTATATACTGTATACATATTTTCTATATATAATATTAGAAAATGTTTTTCAGAGGATTCGATCTGAGATGCAAGGAAGATGCAGTCGTTTCTTTTGACAGTACTTATCTTAAGGAAAACGTGTAATTCCAATATCTAACAGTCTATTCTTGATTAGGTGATGAAATAAATCAGCTCATCACTTGTTTTGACATTGACTGCTCTGGTAGGCTTATTTGCGCTGGAACTGATAAATTGAATGATCCTGATGAAGAGGATACAGTCCACTTGATATTTTGGTATACTGAAAAGAACAAAGTCATTTGTCTAAATTAATTTTGTCTACTTTGTTAGGGACGCGAGAAAACCGCAAATTTTGGGAGCCTATTCCGATGGTCATGACGACGACATTACGCAAGTAAAATTTCATCCGGAAAATAAAGATATTCTAGCTTCCGGTTCGACGGACGGCCTTGTCAATATATTTAACGTTTCCGAAGCAAGTGAAGATGACGCTCTACAAATGACTTTAAATACCGAATCTTCCGTTGTAAGTTTTTCCACCAATTCAGTATATTTGAACATTATTAATAACTTGTTAATTATAGGCCGAGATTGATTGGACAGGGGATAAATCTGATCGTCTGTATTGTCTTACGCACACTGAATCATTATTGGTATGGGAAAGTAATGAGGTAATGAAATTTATTATCTAAAATAAATTGCTAATAAAAACTAAATAATTACATCTATATATACTCTATATAATACATATATAGAAAACCATTCATTTATTCACGTGATTTATCTTTCATAGTGGGATTGTATAAGAAAAATTCAAGATATTAGAGAAGAAACAAAAGTAAGTAGTATTCATTGTTAATAATTACTATAACTATTTTCCTTTAAAGAAATATTCAATCAACTATGCAATAACTTTAGTGCAAGTTGACGGTCATCAAACATTGGTCGCTGGTACAGACAGGTAAAAAATTCAATTTTTTACGACCCATTTCATAACCTAAACACAAATTTATTATAGAGGCAATTTTCATTTATTTTCATTGGATGACGATAAACTAGATCACTTAACTGGATTAGAATTAGGCCATTCCGATATAGTCCGATGCGCAAAATATGATTCTGAAGTATTTATTGACATTTTCTATTCCATTCAAATAAATTTGATCTATTTTTTAGGACCAAAGTCTCTTAACAGGAGGTGAAGATTCTTTATTGTGCCTTTGGGATCATTCTGTTAAGTCTGCGACAGAAACGACAAGATCAAAGAAACTAAGGGTGATGTATTAATTATATACAGATTGCGTAATGGATCTTTGTCTAATTGATTATTTTGCGTTTTTTTTCTTTAACTTGAATAGAAATCAACATCTGTAAAAACTAGACCATATTCTGGAAGACCGAGTAAAAGATGAAGACAGGATGAAGAGAGAAAGAGTCGTTATTTCTTTGTTAAGATACTTTCTTTTTACTATTATTTTGTTTTTGATAAAATTATAATATTCAACAAGCAGAAGAAAGGAAAACTTATCTTTCATTATAAATTGAATACAACTTCGCGATTTGTCTAGGTTGCTTGAGCAGCATCTTGATCATTGATTGATATTTTTTATTATTAAAGATTCGAACTTTGATTAATGAGGGAATTTTAAAAAAGAGATTAGAAATACGTACGTGATCGAAATGAAGAGGAGGCGTCTTTCATTAATAAGACGCTACTTAATTATTTTTAATTTGGTGATAGGCATGGAGCTTCGCATCCTAACTCTAAGGCGTAAGTAATGGGGTAATTGGGCTAGGAAAAATCTTTGAATAAATAAAACGTTTCAGTGAATTTAATATTATCAGCTAATTAATCAATTTGCAAATAAACTAATTAAATAACAACTAAAATAATCAGGAATGCCTCTGGAACTTTCTCTTTGAGATGTAAAATATTTTAGCGCAACCAACCGCCTTAAATAACTTTTAAAATTATCTATGTAACTTATTTGACTATGAATATACATATATACATATATATGAATTTATATATAGGCTATATACATACTGCATATGTATATAAATAAAAGAAGACACCTAAAAAGAGAGTATCCCTTAAAGATCATGACCGATTTGGCTTTACTTCAAAGAAACTTTACTAAAAAGTATGTTAAAACGACCGGCCGTAGCGAGATGTAAATTGATTATATTCAAGTAAATAATAGGCCAAATAGAGTAGCCGAATAATCAACTTAAGAGAAGAAATGAGTATCTTTTATAGGAGAAAAAGATAAATAATTTATACAGTATATACTTATATAAACAATAATTTAAATATTTCTATTGCTTTTGTTTTGAGGAATTTCTGAAGATGAAAAGTTGAAATGTTTTAATCAACGATTTTTGAACAGGCTTTTTCATATTTGTTAAAAAAAAAAGAAACTTTTGAAAGAGAGAGAAAAAACGAGAAAAAAGTAGTAAAATCAATAATATGCCCATATGTCTACGTATACGCTATATGTAAGAGTAGAGTGATGTTCTGAAAAATCGATAAAAGGCCCCATACTGCATCATTTTAAGGGCTAGACTCACTGCAGCAAGAATTATGTCACTATCAGCATTATTGAAATGTCCTATATGTTTGGACTCATTCGATAAACCTCTAACTCTACCGTGTTTACACTCCTTTTGTGAAAATTGCCTTGGAAACGTTGTAACTCATAAATCAGTATTTAATTGTCCTTCTTGCAGGGAACCTATCCAGACACCAAAAAACGGATTGAACGGCTTTAAAAAAGACTTTCGATTACAGTTTTTATTGGATTTTGGAAGTTTTTGCGCTAATTGCTCTTCTAAACCTACTCTAGTTTGTCAAGACTGCACTGTTGAATTGTGTTCAAATTGCTCTACTCAGCATTCAAAAATACCTGCTTTTTCTAATCACGTCGTTTATAAAAGAGTTGAATGCTTAAAGCATAAATTAGATAAAAAATTTTATTGTAGCGACTGTTCTTCCCTACTTTGTACTTGTTGCGTATTCAATCAACATTCGGAGCACAAAATATCTCCAATCTCTTCTCTGAATATGTCTTTAGAATCGAAGCTCAAATCATTTGTTGGTGTGAAAGAAGCATTAAATTTCTCAGCTAAATTGGAGAGTCCCGAAGAGAGGTTGAAAATTCTAAAGGACGCTCTACAAAATTTATATCTACACGACGAAATTGGTAACTTTAATGCAGCGAACGTTGTTGATATATGCGCGAACCAGCAAGACTTTTTCTGTGTTGCTTTTCCAGATCGATTAGAAATTAGACGCTATATAAAGTTAGACGACATCCAACAAGTAATTAAACTGCCAGAAGTAAGGGCAATTTGCTGTCTTGATTCGAATGAGATTGCGGTTGCTCATCGTCACTTTTTGTCAATTTACAATATCTTTGGTCGCTACAAACGTCATTTGGCCTGTGTGCTACCCGACGTCAATTTAAAATTGGATACTGACGGTAATTTGATTGTTTTAAGCCGATACGAATGTTTTAAAATAAACCTTAGCACGACTGAGCGTATAAAATATGGTTCTTATAGTAAATTGGCCTGTGTGACGTCATCTGGCCTGTTGGTAGTGGCCAAGCATTATCAGATAAATGTATATAAAGATAATGTATTTGAACGGGTACTGAATGTTAGAGCGGATGGTTTATGCTCGGACGATCGAGGCAGACTTTTAATATCTGACAAGAGGAATAACTCAATTTCTTTATATACCATTTTTGGAGAAAAGATTACGACCATTCTTAACCTCAACAGGCCCAAAAAGATTGGACTTTCACCGGATGGTTACCTAGTAACTGTTCAAAAAGGCAACATAAGAATCTTTAAAATTAAGCTGAAAATAAAAGACCCAAGCAGTAAAAGTGTCCCTTAGCTAGAGAAGATGAGTAGTAGTTTTACGAAGCAGAAGAGGATGAAACTATGGAATTTGAGAAGAGGAGAAAGTCTAGAGAAGAGTGGTGAAGAAGTAGCAAAATCGGACGATAGCATTAAGAAGCTTGTTTCTCTCTGGTTGAAAGCATTTCATACTGTTTCAATTTTTGTACTATTGTGTCATATTCTCCATTATATCTGCACATTCGATTCCAGAAGTTTGTACAAATTGTTTGTATTGTTAAGCTTACATGACGTCATTATTTATTTGTATAAGAATTTATCAAGAAGTCTTACGTACTATCCCCCAACCCTGTTATTTTATATTTTCAACTTGACAAAGAAGGTGTTAAGGTTGTCCTAACTATCTCTATATTTATTTTCTATATAAACGTATAAAAAATAACTAAACTATGTGGAATAAATTTGCTATGGGCCTTAAATAAATGCATCTGGACAGGATTTTCATTGGAAATTACAGATGTAGAAAGTGTTGGACAAAGAATAGAAGAATAATTTCCGCTACCATCAACTACTATTACTCTTCTTTTTTGACAAGTCTGTCGTATAATTGAAAGGGGGATATTTAGTGGTAAAATGACTGCATCGCGACATAAATACTACGTAATTCTGTATTGGCAAGAAATACTTATTACTCTCATTAACTACTATTGAAGTTACACAAGTGCTTCGAATACGTTACTTATTATATAATTTATAGTTAAATTTACTAATTAAAGCTATTTCTTCTGATTAGCCCATATCAATCAATCTAATGAACAGTATATACAGATATTAATTTCTTTTTCAGTTCTCATATGAAACATTATTACTCTAATCAATATTGATTTTTAACATAGGCTTTATTTTTATTACTTTTATACATTTCATATAAAAATATCTGTTGAAAATGAAACAATAGAATTGCGATAAGAGAATTTATTAGTAATCTTTTCCCTGTCCATCGCCTCTAACTGGCTCTCTCAAAAGATGTCACTATCATGAACAGGGCGTATGCATGTACAATCATATGTAAAGAATCAGGAATTATATAATAGTGGGTTTAAGGCTAATGATTTTATGTATGAGGTAAATTATGCAATAGTACTTGATGATAATTCACCAGCTACTGCAAATTTATCTTTCTTAAGGGTTCTGGATCATTATTAGTAAATAATTAAATGGAATAATATAATGCATATTTACGTAAAAAAATAACTTGTAGTAAGTGAACTAGAAGAGCATTGTCGACTTTTTCCTTCTAGCCCCAAGTGAAAATCCATTAGTTTTGAATTATTCTCCTATGTTGTGGGGTCGATATTAAAGGTCGTTTTAAGTATTTCGTTTAAGGCCTATGAAAAAAAATGAGCAATTTTATTGTCTTTCTATGAAAAAGCCAAAACTTTATTCATTGTTTACTTGGAAAAATTACATAGGTTTATAATCTCAATGTTTGCAGTTTTAGATAAGAGTAGACAACTTGCTACTGCTGTTCTGGATAGTTAAAGTTATTTATTGTCCTTCGATACTCATTTCCGATCATTGCCTTCAACATCTTGCACTGATTTATTCGACGTTTCTTTTTTGCCCCTGAGCTTATCGTATTGAAGAGTCGTTGAAATCATATAATCGTCTACAATCTTCTTTATTTTCAATTTTTCGTACAAGTGTTCCAATCTGCGTCTATGAATATTCGGATAGAAACCCCTAAATATCCTTTCCGACAAAATAGGGCCCCAATTCTTTATTAATGATAATAGAAAAATAATGGCTAATAAGACAACAATCTTCTTGCCGTTGAACGAAAGATGCCGTTGATTATCGTCGTAATAGGATAAACTGGGTATTTGAATATCATCTAGGCACTTGACCTTGTATTTTGAATCGAATATAAAAATGTTTGGTTCGCTGAAAGGTTTACCTATACCTTGTCTATAGAGATTACTTAAATTTGCAGGCATTGCATCAAAATTTGTAAAAGTTATATTTCCTTTTCCGTAGGCCCTAATCGTAATCTTTCCATTCTTAAAAAGGCTCTTAGTTAGGGCATGTAGGCAAGTTTCTCCGAGAAAGCAGGCTATAACTAAAAAGCTTAACGTAATAGAAAAGAGAACATTAAGGAAAATTGTTGTTATATCACCAAATGAATTTACAAGGGACCTAAAACCAATCTTGATTTTGTAGACTCCAATCTCATTAGCCTTTTTCCTAACAGAATAACCGCTTTCTGCTTCCATTTCCTCATCGTAATCCTTAAAATCAGCGTACATATACCTATTATTATATCCAACATCCGTTTTGTATTTATATAGGCTAATAAAGTTTGTTATAAGTAGATGACCTAATAGAATGTACATTAATATTTGAATATAATCGTTTATAGTATCGACAAAGGTTGAAGAATCTTTAATCCTTTTGCTAGTTTGATTGAATATTTTAAAGACATCTAAACCTAAAATATTAACTGTTGGTTTAGATGTAAATTGAATTTTAGGACAAGTTGAATTTTCCATATTGAAATATTTATCACAACTATCATATCCAAAGCATAAATTTGAATTTGTAAAATCAGGTTTATTTCCGGCTATAACATCTCCTAATTCTTCTCTAGCCTTTTTATAGGCTTCATTAACTGTACCACCAATATCTAATACTGTAAATATACTATTACAAAAGTTCTTTTCAAAAGGCTTTGTTTTTTGAACGAATGAGTTTGCAATATTAAAAAGTTCGGCTTTCAAGTACGTTGTTAAATGGTTAATTTCACACTTAATAGTGTTGGAGAGAGTTTGCACATGTAGCGTTATTTTTCTTATTGGATTATTTAACAGCAATTCTAGAAGAATAATTGAGAGTATTAACGTACCCTCACTTGTAATAAAGGCGGCGGCACTCATACAAATAAACGTTCTTACGATTTTGCAGAAGATTCCACATAGAATGAGAATAAAAGCAATTGTTAAGAAAATGGCTGTCTTTTCCAAAGAGATTTCAAACTTCTTTATATTATTAATGTTAAAAAAGCTCCAATCATTATTTAGTACTAAGAATAGTGTACTAAAATAAACAATGAATAGAACCGAGTACAATATTGAGTGAGAAAACGACGTTATTCTTTCCATTTTCCCTATCAGCAAAAATCAAGAAATGACAAACTTTTTACAACTTTGCCTAGTCGAGATAATTGAATAATAACAAATAAATACGTTAAATATTATGATTGGCTATGGTTCATTTTTTTAGCACGAAATACATTAATTTGTCAATTATTCTCCCTCATATATTTGTATCCCTTTCTTTCTCATTCACTCACTCTTTCGCTCACTCTCACACTCACCCACTCACTCACTCACTCACTTGCTTGCTCGGTCGTTCTATCTCTTCTCTTTTTCTTTCTTTCCAATACTCCCACTCTCGCATTCACCTCCTTTTCTCGTAGTCTCTCCATATCTCTCTCCCATTCTCACCCTCTTTCTCCCTCCTCCTCTCTTCTTTATATCTTATTCTCTTGTTATATCTCAAAGCCGTACTCATTCTTTCACTGATTTATTCGCTAACTCACGTTATCCCTCTCTTTACACCGGCTCTTTCTCTCTGTCTCTCTTATTTCCATTCTCATCAATATTTATTTATATAAACTATATATACTGTATAAATAGATGTATGTATAGTGGTTTTATTGACGACCAAAGATATTTACTTTGATTTCTTTTACCAATAAAAGATTTGTTATTGTAGTATTTTTTGAAACTCATTTTTATACGAATTAGGGAAACTATCCCTAGAATTCCCTATGTTTATTTATAAGTTTTCGCTATTTGCAATATACGATATATATATATAAATTTATATATGAATTTATATATATATATATATATGTATATATTGGTATTTATCTCCTTTACATGCAATAAATCAGCACCGGAATAGGGCTATTTAACCAAGTTAATATATATATAAACTTTTAAATGGGCCATTCAAACTGATATCGTATGAGCTACCAGCTACGTAGAATATTCAAATTCCTTCTTATCGTCGAAAACCAGTTGGAAAATTACCTTCTTCCCATTTGCGACATTCCCCGATATAGCCATTTGACATTTTCACCATCAAAGATATAAAGCAGTGATAAGTAAATGGATTTCTTTTTGTTCTTTCTTTTCACCAATTCCATAAACATTCTATTGTTTTTCCTTATTTTCTTTCTACGCCAACCCGTTCCAACTACCAGTCCTCATCCTTCCGATAGAATAATAAGGCCTATTAAAGGCTTGTTGAACAAAACTTAATAAGAGCCGTTAGCCGGACTTGTAAATTGCATTTCTCCTTAATTAAGCTGCTAGCCTAAAGTATTGAAAGCTAGAGGCTGTTGTTTCTTCGCGATAATAACGATATTAGTAAATAACAAAACAGAATGAGAAAATAGGAAGTTTATAAAATTTTTCTCTTTTTTTTTGTACAATAAACTTTTCTTTAAAACTTTAATTTTGTTTCTTTTTACAACAAAAACTGTGCAGATACTTTAAGCATAATTTTTATACTATTAATCTTTAAAAAACCCTACAGAGAAGCCATACTGTCTTTTTCACCGAAATCCGTTTCCGTTTCTGTCGTCAAGCCTCCTTTACCCTTCAATTTTACTCTCTCAGCATCTGTCGTATTACCAGCGTCGCTGCCTGCGAAAAAATTCAATTATAGCAAGCGATTGGTGGCGGAAATTAACGAATATACGACGAACCGGTTGCACTAAAATGATTAGGGAAATTGGTGGTTGTATTTGACGATTTCTTGTAAGTTGTAGAATTCATTGTTAATTTTCTAACATTCTTCTCCGGATGAAAAATGATTATGTAAATCTTAGGAGTAAAGAGGCAGAGAAGAGCCACATAAGCGCTCAAAGAAATTGAGACGCAAAGCGTTGTTGTCTGAATCTGTTGAACGAATGTAAACAAGTTTTTTTTATAAAATAAGTATATCGCATGAATCTAGAGCAACTAGCAGAAGTTTTTCAATCAAATTAGGTCATCTCCGGCTACAAAGAAATAATAGACTATATCTATATAATAGTGACAAAGAACCATAGTTAGAAACATCTGGATAGAGATGCGGGTCGTCCATCAATTTTTAGTATGTTTATTCATTTAGGGTATATAGTATTTTTTTAATAAAAGAGTCGATATTAAAGGATGACGTTTGTACCTGAATAAATAAAATGCTTATAAAAACAAAAGCGGGCTGAAGAGAATAAGCATCAGTGAGGAATAGAAGATCAAAAAATTGTTAAAATTGCACAAATGGTCAAGTTGAAATATCCACGTTACAATTGATTAATTAATTAATAAAAGGAGAAAGATAATAAATAAAGAAGTTGTCTACGCGCCATCTATAGGTCTCTTACCTGAAAATTATTCAAGGTTCCAAAATAAATAGGAAGAAAGGCCAACCAAATAATACAGGTGGTATACATAGTAAATCCTATGAATTTACTCTCGTTAAAATTCTCGGGAATTTTTCGTGTCTTTATAGCATAGACTGTACAAATGAGAATGAGTAGCATATTGTATGTAAGCGAGATGAGGAAAGAAGTCTCTTCGATCCGGCACTTGAGTATCACCTCATTCTTTCTTCCACCCGGATTATAATGCCTTATCCCTGGAGGACTGACGAACAGCCAAACTCCTGCACACGCTATCTGGATGCCGATAAGGATTAAAGTGATTATCAGCTGGGATTTTGGAGATATGAATGGAGGTCTTTTAGCTGATTTTGTGGCGCTATCGAAGATTCTCGATATTCTATTGGTTTTTACAAGGAGTGACGAGTACATGACTGCAAAAGCGAAGCCGACTCCAAACCTCCTTATTGTGCATATAACGGCTGTAGGCTTAGCCAAGAGGAAGAATGTCATGAGGAAGTTACAGATGAAACCGCCCAGGAGAACAAAACTGAGTTCCCTACCCGATGCTTTAACAATCGGAGTATCAATGTGTAAGAAGAAGGTGACGGCTACAAGGGATGTTAAGGTAATACCTAGGCAAGAGATGGCAACTGGAACCAGGGAATATACAGACAGCCACCTCATATGTTGTACCCATGAACGAAAGAATACATTGTTTGCGGTAAGTCTTTGATGACAAAGTCCATACTTAAAATTGACCGCCCATTATGAATTAGTGCTCTATATGGCAACAGCATGCAGTGATTATTTGGAATATCACAATAGAAAATCGTTTATATAAATTATTCACTAGATCTTTCAATTGACCTTTCGCTTAGTGCGAGAAAATTCCTTCTATATTGCTATCGTTCTTGTCAGATTTAGGAATAAATTTTTCACGTCATTAGTCTCACTGTTCTCTCGCTAATCGATTGACACCTAATTATGAGGTGTGCGTACTTGTGATTGTACCATGAAACCTTAAAAATTTAGTCTACTTTTACAATAACGTATAGCCTGTCTAGTCTGTCTGTATGGCACTATGTTATTGAGTATATTTATATATTCTTATTCGTTCGTTCATGAGCTATTACCGGAAGATCGTAGCATGAACTCTTTTCTTCATTAGGCCATCTACCTTCACCGCAATCTTCGCACGTTACTTCGTCCACAGTATATTCGAAATCTTTGCAAGGTGTGCAAATCCAACAGCAAGAACGATCTCTCATTCTTTTAATTTCTCCTACCTTGCAAGGTGGGGAACATATACTTACGGGAACTTCAACGCGTCCGTCTAGCCATCGTATGTCGTCTTTTCTAATAGTAAGTCCGTTCGTCCATTCTCCAACAGCTACGTATTCGTACTTATCGGTTTCTGTGTTTCGACGGTAATTCATAACGTTGTATCGTCCAAGACCATCGCCAGAGGCATCGAATTCGATTACGTCTCCAAAACGATCTGTAAGGAATTCGATTTTTTAGAGCTTTAACAGACTATTTCTGATAGGTTTTTCTGCTTGACGGGTCAGGTGACGCTCTCTTCAGGGACGCCCACGTCTGTCAATATTTCTATTAGCATTTTTTTTATCAGTTGATACTCTCGCATTATCGAAAGAAAGTGAAAAAAGGGGAAAGATAGAAGTGGAAAAAAAATATTTTCTTTTGTAGTAAATCGAGTATTTTGCACAGTTTATTAAAGGTTGAAAATTTTCCTTTTTTCCTACAAAAACTAAAGGAAAACAAAAAGAAGTCTATAATGATAAAGCTAATAATATATCTTTTTTTCATGTTGTTGATAACCTTTCAAAGACCAAAAAAGCTATTCGATATGTAAAGCGTATCTAAGTGGATATTTAAAAGGAATAAATCAAAAAGAGATACTTTTCCGGTGACAACTCAAAGGCAAAAATCATCTTTAATGCATACAATTTATTTAATAAATAAATGAAAAGTGTAGTCTAATTTTATTCATTTTCACGCTACTTAGATCACGATACAGGTGAGTGGACTACCGTGAAATTCATCAATGGCAGTATTTTAGATTCTATTCCTTGTTTTCTTTTCTTCTCATTTTCTTTTCTCTAACCTTACTTTTTCTTTGTTTCTTTCTTTATTTCTTTATTCTCTATTTGCTCTTTCTATCAACTATTTATACTAGTCTGAACTGAGGGTATCGAATGAAAAATGGGGAAATTAAGGTATTTAAAAAGTTAGTAAAAGAGAAAAAAAGCAAAGATTGTATGTAATTTGCTGTTTTTAGAGAGACCCTTAGAAAAATAGATTACGTATCTGTACAATATATATTCTTAGACGTATATGGATATTTGGATATACAGCAGTGTAGTTTTTCTTTTAGTCTCTTATTTTCCATATATATATTAGTATATAGATATATACTCGATTTAATTCTATTTTGTCAACTCATCAACTATGGCTAGGGTCGAGAGTTACAGTTACGAAATGAAAGGTGGCGACAGTCTTCTATGGAAGCCAAATAATTTACTTGTAAAGTCGCCATATGAAAGGAAAGAAAGGTGCATCTTACTGTCTTTACTCCCTATTTATAAATAATTAGTTATTGTTCTACAAAACGTTAAGTATACATATATACGTCTATATACTATATATAGACGTTAGCGTTGAGGGAAGAGGGCTACAAAGAAAACAAAAAGCAAAAGAAGAGAGAGCGAGAGAGAGAGAGAGAGAGAGAGAGTTGTAAACTGAGAATAGAGAAAATAAAGAGTATAAAATTTTGAATATATCTCTAGGGGAGAGGAGAGAGAGAAGGAAGATTTGAGGTTTTAAGATTATCGCTAAATATTTTGGTTGTCTAATCTAATAATATTTTCTTTTACTTTCGCTGCATTAATACGAAGATTTCGGTGGATAAAAGTATTATTTTTACAGACGACAAAGTATTTTGTATAACAATTTACAGTAATATACAAACTTTAGCCCCTTTTCTTTTCAGTTAAAAAGTTCGAATGTAAATATTGAAGCTATTAAACGAAAACACACTAAATGGCTGATGCTGAGAAAAGAGCATTTGTGATAAATTGTTTGTAGAATGGAAAACCGTTTTTTGATTAAAAGATATCCATATATGTATAATTTTTTTCCAATTTTCTAAACACTAAAAAGTATAGCTTTTTCACTCTTTTGTGTTTCGTTTTTCTATACAACTGCCGAGAATTTTTATGGAATTTACAAAGAAAATAAAAAGATAAAGAAACGAAGCAGATTACAAGCATAGAATATACGTTAATTCAATAATTAAGGAATGTTTGTTAAAAGGGAATGAATAAACAAAATGTTTATTAAATTCAAGATGTTTATTGAATTGATTAGGATTTGAAAAAAGTGCTATTAGATTTTTTTTAGAGCTATTAAATACCACTTGACTATCTTACTTTTGCTAAAGTTGTTTCTTCAATTTGAACAAGAATTTAGCATTCGAAATTGCCTACCCACGTGACATGGTTTAGAAACACCCGCGGGTTACAATCTAAATTTCGAATTTCCTGCAATCTAACGGAATTCTCCTACTTTAATTCTCACGTGAGCTTTCTCCTATTAAGAGCTCGAAATAAAACACATTTTCGTAAACGCTCAGCTGTTAATCTTCCGATCTAAATGTGAAAAGAAGGGAATTTATGTGAAATGAATACTGGTTTCTTAAGTCAATTTCCAGTTCAAATTTTAAATATAAGAATTTGCACTTGTTAATGATTATTTCCTTCTGCTACTCTCTATTATTTTTCTCCTATTAAGAAATTACTAGCTTTATCCGACCATGAAACAAGTATGCAATTTAAAATAGCTTTGGCACACTGCTGTATGATTAGAGACTTATGGAGTGATGTTAGTGCAATGGATGCCTGAATTTACCTGTTTAAATTAGCTTAGTGATAAATAATATACCTTGTTTTGTATTAATAAAGAGAAAATTTCATGCATCTTTAATTAACTCTAAATTATGATAAAAATCAATAATAATAATAAAAAAACATAGGATTTTTTCTATGTTTCTTTTTATATATTTCAATAATAACGAAACTAAACTCTATTGACGCCTGTTCTGTCAGTCTGTCTGTCTGTCTGTCTATCTTTCTTTCTTTCCGTCTGTCTATCAGTCTCCCTTTCTCCCTTCCTCTCCCTCTCTCTCTCTTCGCTATTTTTTCTATCCCCACCCTCTCTTTCTTTTTATATTGAAACAACTTTGAATCATTACTGAAATGAGAAATTTTCATTCGCAGTTATTCCTGTCCTCTTTGGTCTATTAACAGCGCGGTGAATTGACTTATTAACGATGCATCCAATTTATCTCGTTAGAGAGTAGTTGGCAAAGAAAAATTACTTAATTCCTCAAACTCTTAAAGTGGAAAAATACTCAATAAATTTTCTTTAATAGAGTTTGATGACTAAATTAGGCAATATGATAAATAGTTACTTGATATAACTTGACAAAATGTATTTATTTAACCCATAACCCTCTCTACAAAGAGTTGATAAGAAGATACTATACAGTTCGGGTGTTGGCTGTTCTGCTATGTTTACAGCAAAGTGGAAGCCTCAGGCCAGTTCATTTGCATCGATGATGGACCATTGTAACATTTTTTTTTCAGCCTTTCGCTGAATGTTAGAATTAATACATGAGTATTTTGATTAAATTATAAATGTAACATAAAAAAGAAATCTTTTAGGGTAAATAAGCAAACTTATATGATTTATAAAAAATTAGACAGCATACTGTATAGTGTATTACAGTATAACTTATTAATTCACTTAGTATACGTATATATCTGCTTTAGTTTGTCAACGTTTACCTTTTCTTTTAGTTTCTTAAGTTAAAGAGACAGAGAGAGAGAGAGAGAGAGTGATTAAGGTAGAAAGGTAAGAGAGAGACAGAAAAATCAGAGTTGAAAAAATTTTTCCTTTCTTTTCTTTTTGAAAAGAAACTTAAAAGAAGAAATATAAATAGAAAGAGGATAATAATAAAAAGAAAATAAACATATGTATCATTTTTTCTTCTTAAAAAAGAGAATTATATATCAAAATATAGTTATAAAAGTAGGTATCGACCATATATATATATATATATTTATATTGGTAAACAAATATATACACAGTTGCAGCGAATTTTCTATCTGATCCGCCATAGTTTTTAAGCTGTCTATTCCTTAGAATATCTATTCTTCCCATCCTCTCTCTTGCCTATCCTCGCTCCTTCTTTCCCCTTTCTTATTATTTCTTATTTACCTTAAAGAAAATGGTTCTGCCTTTCTTGCCTTTAATTTGTTAAATTATCTAATTAGTTTTTATCATTTTTCTCTTTTTTCCCTTCAAAAAGTTAACGTAAGAGAGAAGATAGGAAAATGTTTAAATGATAAATAAACATGCACATAATATACATATATGCATTGATTTAACCACATATATATATATAAATGTGAAGAATACCGCAAAGCTCCAGTATCCCATTCCCGAGCGCTATGATTTAGATACATCTTCGTAGCGTTAAGAAATGGAACACCCGAACTGCGATTATTCCATATCGCCTATAAAATTCTATATTAAAAAAATATTTCCCTTATTTTTTATTCTCTAAGGTTTTCATAATAACTTTTCTCCTTGTTCTTTTCACTGTTTCTCTTATAATTGTTACAACCTACCGCTCGTCTTTTCTCTCCCCTTCTCTTCTCTTTCCTTTTCTGTTTTTTTTTCTCATAATCCTTTCTTCATATACTTCAAGTTTTGTTATTTTCAAACTACTGGACTATATTCATTCGTGTTTTATTTTATTTTTAATAAATTCTTATAAAATATTAGATAATTTAATAAAAGACTTACAAAGCTTAATATAAGGCGGTGAATTATTTATCCTTACCTCAGGCAAAATTAATATCGAGACAAAAATTACAGCCATTTAGCGCTACCCTTTTTTTCTTTCTTTTTTTTAATGAAAAAAAAAGACGCCAAAGAGTCTTTTGGCGTCTTTCTCGCTCTCTCTCTCTCTTCTTTTTTTTCAGTGTTAAAGCTTGGTAGATTTTTATTTTTATTTATTTTTATAGTTGAATGTTTAGATATTATTTTACTCATTAATTTCATTTTGCTCAATTAGATAAATACAGTTAAAATAATTGTGAATGTAAAATTTAAAGCTTATTTAACTGTTCGTTTAATTATTTATAAATCCAGATTATTGATGGATAATAAAAAAAATAAGTATGTAGAAACAGTATTCAAGAGTTTGTTATCCTCTATCATTTTTCAACTACCCATCCTCCTATCCCCCTATCCCCCTATCATCCATCCATTCGTCTATGCATCTATTCATTCCACACCAAGCTATACGTATTCAAATGCGGTACAATTTGTATTTTGATAAATAGTGAATACTGGACAGAAGGAGGAGGGAGGAGGCGAGAGAGAGTGATGAGCGAGAAAAGGGGAGAAGAGTAGTAAGGAAAGTAATGCTCGCGAGATATTTTACTCCATTATTTTACTCCATTAAAAAAGCGTAAAATATATTACTGTAAATTGTCCTATTCAAAAGTAAATGACACAGGTAAAGGCCATGTGACTAAACAAAAATGAATTTTTTACGGGAAAAATGCCAATCATTGTCTTGTTTGCTCTTAGCCTTCTTACATATTTAAGTCAGGCTAAGACGCATATCATCTCTATTGACAAATCTTTAACTAAACTGATGGATATAGTTTTGCTATTTATCTGCATATTCCGATTCATAAAAAGTAAATAATATTGTTTAGAATGTGTTGAAAGACTCAATGGAGGTACAAAATCAATTTTTAGCCTATTCGGTTACAAACTATTGATAGACAAAGAGTGGATGATTAATTTTTTGATTTTGATTTTTCCTTTTACGCTTGTTTGAATAGCTTGCCAATGATATATAGAAATAAAATATAGTTATAGTTAAACTATAGTATGACAGTAAATCTGAATGACTTTGTATAATATAAGCAGTTGACAAAATTTATACAAAAGATTCATCTTCCCTCAATGTTCCTTGTTTTCTTATATATATATATAAATGTGTATAAGCTGATTATCTTAATTAGTTAACTTGGATAAAGTCTGTCAGTATTTTGAGGCAGAAAGACAGATGGATAGAGAAATAAAGAGAATGAAGGAAAGAGAGAAAGAAGGAAGAGTAAATTTTAACAGATGAAAAAAAAAATAATATAAAAACAAGGAGGAAAAAAGAAGAAGAAGAAAAAAAAGTTGGAGATATAAACGATATATTGAACATGTCAAGAATAGAGCAATTATTCATACAATTCCTTTGTTAAGGTAATACATCAATTCTGTATATCTTTGTTGTTTTTTTACGATAAATTAATCGCCGACTTTATGAGAGAATGAAAATGTAAATTAATATTTCTCTCCTCTTCCAATCGAAATGGATACAATAGGTAGAATGGATAAGAATATAAACTAAATGCATAAAAAGAAAACGTTACTCACCTTCAAAGGAAACGTTCAGTAGATAATGTTTATAAAATGTCTTTCCATCTCTTAAAAATTCACTCATACACGTCTTCCTATCGTCGTTCAACCAACATTGCTCTTCTAGAACTTTATTTAAGGCTTGAGCAACAGCATACACTGTATCGTACACAAACTGTAATTTACTTTCCTGTTTGAAGTCTGGAAATGTCTCGTTTCCAGTACAGAGAGAACCATTTTCTTTTGGTTTGAATTTACATTTGTGAGCTGATTCCCAGAATTCGTTAAACCAAGGATTTCTGGTGTTATTCGAGGGTCGTCTCCTCCTAAAATACGTGTCAAAATCTGGAATTTTCTTCGATTTCAACTCTATGGTTATAGCTCCTCTAGAAACGTTAGTTGTGTCTTTAACGGGTAGAGGATTGTTTCCCCAACCGTCCGATGCGATCCAAACGAAAGAATCGATCATGTTGAGACGTTGGGCAGCTGATAGAAGTTGAGTAGCATCTTCAACTCTAAGAAAGAGGGCGACAACTCTAGCTTCATTATTTTTAAGTTCTTTAACAATCTTTTCAAAATTTTGCTTATTGGACGACTGAGGAACCTTTGCTTCTATAGCCGTACAAACATTCCTGGCGGTTAATTCGTCTTTAAAAGCCTCTATTCCTTTTTCACCATAGTCTCCCTCGGAAGCTACTGTACTGACGTACGTCCAATTGAAAAAGTCGACAATGTCAGCCATCGCTCTTGCCTGAAAGTTATCAGGCGGAACTGTTCTCGCAAAATAGTCAAATCTAGTTTTATCACTTAAAACTGCTGATGTTGACGCATAGGAAACTAGAGGTATTTTAAAAAGCCTTAATAGATTAGCCACCTGGATCGTGGACGAAAGTAATAATATAGTCCAGCCTAAACAACTGAATGGAATGGGGCGTATAGGCCACATTACTTAATAAAAGAACAAAGTACATACAATTTCTATCACATTGGTTAGTCCCAATTAAGTTCCATATATATTTGCTTAAAGGAAAAGCTTCCTTACTAAGTCACCTCTTTATTTATTGGATATGAAATTTATATCCGGTGAACCAATTATTCTTCTCTACGTTAAAAACGCTGCCAATTTTCACTATTAACTACATTTATAGTTGTAAATACAAATTATTGTTAAGAAATACGTAGAATGCAATTTATATCTTTTGTATATTTCTCATTTCTTATATTTAATCTTACTCGCTGACTCTCTTTCTCTCTGTCTCTCTGTCTTTCTCTTTCTCTCTCTCTCTCTCTCTCTCTCTCACTTTCTTTTCTCTTGCTCTTTCTCTCTCTCATCTCTTCCCTTCACTTCTGTTCTCTTAACCCCTAACCATATATATCTCTCCTTCCCTCTTCCCTTCTTGCTCTTTACTTTTCTTTCTTTCTCTTTTTTTCTTTTTATGTAAAAGTACAATAAACAGGAAAAGAATAACAACGAAATATTTGTTCAATTAGACCTAATTACGATAACTGATTAATATATACATTCAGTATATATATATAGATTATTTATAGTAGTATATTTTATTTTCTTTCGTTCACGACCTGAATGGATACGCTGCTATAACTTCCTCCAATTACTGCAGCAACTGGCTGAGCATCCGACTGCCCGCAAGAGAAAGAGCGCATTGAAGCTCTTATAAAGTCCATTGACTGTTCCACAGCATAAGTATCTCTGGAGCAGGTGTCTATTATCCTAGCGCCCAAAGTTATGTTCGGCAGTAAGTCCTGCTTGTTATTGATCTCTTCCAGAGTAAAGAACATGGCCTCTAGGCGCTGTATGCCTCGTTCTCCCTGAATAGGTCCGCACGGTGTCCCCGGGTTATCGCTCTTCTTATGAACCGGGAACAGGCCTCCTAAGAAAATATCTCCAGGCAGGTTGGCGATTTGCTGTTGTCCAAGCACCATGCAGATTTGCAGGACGAGGAAGAGAAGCATTGACGGTCTTTATTCTTTGCCTATCGATGATCAATGTCGGATTTTTTCGTGTTTTTTGTTTTCGTTTATAGAACCGGGAAATGTAAATTGATTAGACGTCGGAAGATCCGCTTGATTCCCTACATCGTCTCCGGAAACTGACTATTTCTATAGTATATTTAGTTATTTTATTTTAATCTTAATTTCATTAATCGGCTTAAAAGTAAACTTTGCCTTTACAGGGCAATAGTATCTTTTTGATTTTAATACCCATTTGTTTTTGTTCAAATGGATAAAAGAGATAAATTGATTATTTCTCAGCCAAGATTGTTTTACCTCATCGTCTTGAGGAGAGAGACATTAATTGTTAGGGACCTATATTCTATTAATTACAATCTCAGGGGGTTCTTTTCCCCTTTTGCCATTATTTATATACATATTATTTTCCTTTTCTCTACTTTTCATACACCAAAAATGAAAAAGCTAATTTGATCTACTTCCGCAAATGTTTTCAAACTTTTTTCCCGCCAAGAACATCAAATATAGAGTAAAAGAGAAGAAGAAAAAACACGTAGCTATCCTTTTTTATTTTTATTATTAGTTAATTTAAAAAGAGAAAGTTTGTTTTGTTTTTACTCCTTCGAGAAAAGGCAAAAAGTTCTTCGCTCTGCCTCTCTTGCTCTTATTCTCTTGATTTGTCCTTTGCGAATGAGATAAAGTAATTGATTGGCGGACTCTGCTTGTTTTCTACATAGTCTTCCGGAGAGACGGTTCGTTAGACACCTATATTAATTATTAGCTTCGTCGTCTCCAAACTAACGCTTAATTTAGACGCGTTTCGAGACCTTATGGTCGTTAGAAGCCCAACGAAGATATTCTAACTGACTAGTTTATAAATGAGAGAATGACGAGGAACTATAACAAGAAATGTTTAATGTTCCGCGGCTAGAGAACACTCACTTTTGCAGTTTACTCTGTCAATATCTTATTCGACTCGTACTGCAAATATTGTATAGAAAAAAGTACCAGATGCGGCCTGCTCTACACATGTACACAATTAATGTCTATTCGTAATTAACACGCGAATTATATGATAGGAAATATCTTACCTCCGTCAAAGAAAAGCGATAAAAGACGCCTGCGTCTCTGTAGACGGCGCTTTTTTTCGGAATTTCAACAGATCCTTTTCTCTTTCTCCCGCTCTCCGAGATAATCGATTGGTAAACTATCGAAGATTATCTTAGGCCAAATTTCGATCGTAAAGCGGTTAAGGTGGTAATTTCTTTAATTAATTCCGATCTCCCCAGTGACGTCCTAAAAGAGACGACGGCTGAATATTCGCAGCAGTCTTCAAGTTTTAATCATTTCTCTCCTTTTATTCCTCTTATTATTCTTTAAGTTTACGGTTAGCTGCCAACCGCCTTCTCCCTGCGTTCAGATGAACGTCCGCCCGGTAGACGGAGCTTCTGGCATAATAATAATTCGAATTATAATGGCTATAAATCGATGACATGTGTAACTTAGACTTACGCTGTTGAATATCAATAAGCGAAGATCTTTTAAGCTTATTTATTGAATTTTATTTACTTTTGTTTAAAAAAGAGTTGAAAGAAAGTCAAGTTGAAGTAATAAAGAAAGATAAGTCAAGACAAAATTACAGATAACTTAATAATATATATATAAGTTCATCTACTGCTTTACTTTATTAGATTCGAATATTTCTCTTTTAACAAAAGTAAAACATATTATATTTATTTTACATAACTTGTCAATATTGAACAAGAATAAATAAGAATATATTAACATGCTTAATTAGCTGGAACATCAAATATAGATCGTCTTCCAACTATAAATAAATATATACGTTTATGTATGGACCTATTTATATATATATCTTTATATCTACAAATAGACTATTTATAGATATATAGACACATAAATATATATGCATACTGATTATACATAAATAAATAAAGATGGACAACAGCTCTAAAGGTATGCAAAAATACTCGGAGGAATTGAGATATATGTTAATGTTTGTAGATTACAAACGATATATTTATAGGGTTTTATATTTATTAGTTAATTAGTTTATTTATTATGTTAACTTTATAGTTCAATTTAAACAAGACCACACCTTCTGCCTACTATGTGCGCGTATATTACTATCTACTAGCACTTTTTAGCACGTGAGTTCTTGTATACTGTATATACACAGATTCATGTATTACCTCTCTGAGTAGATAGAACATATGGCTAGCTATGTTTTTATAGAAATTTTTTTCCGTCTATTCGCTTTTAATTTTGCTATGTAAATGACTTTAAAAGTAGTTTTTAATTATTTTTAATTACATAGTTAGTCAAGTAATAATAGTAAAAATAAGAAAAATAGAAAATACATTACATGTCACAAATATAATATGATATTTATAGTAAATTTTTGTTTTTTTCTTCCCTTATCGTACTGGATATTTCTAGACAAGAAACGGAAGTAAAAACAATCACACAAACATAGAATTATAATGTTCGTCCTCTATTTCGTAAATTAGTTAGCTTTTATGTTTTTTTTCATCTAACTAGGAGCGTCTCTCTCTAGATACTTTCATTCAAAAAGGGATATAGGCAATTATACGGAAATAGACTACGCTATAAGGTCGGTGGAGCAATTAGCGCCATCAATGGTCGTCAGTCAGCTTGTATACTTTTTTCATAGCCAAAAATAATAGCTATGTTGTATATTAAATTGACAGAAAATAGCGCTTTTGCTACTTTACTTGGAGAATTAAAGTAAGAAAAACATAAATGTTTTTCCAACGAGTATTTCTATTTTTTTTAGTGAAAAATCCAACACCTCTTCGCCATTTCCTGTCTTTGCGTATACATTTCTTCTATCTCTACGTCTTTTCAGCTCCTTCATCTCCGTCTAGCCCTTGCTCCCCCATACCCCTCTCTTTCCCATACAGTATATATATATATACATATACTTATTTATTCTCTTTTCTTCTTCTTTCACTGTCTGCTCTTTTCTAATTTCTTTCTTAAACTTCAGAAAATCTAACAAAAGGACGTTTAGACGTCTACCAAAGATTATTTATTTTGTCAATCCTTTTACATTTTTGTCACGTAAGACTACTCAGTATTGAAATTCTGTTTAATCAGTGTAAAAATGGTAGCAGGGGAGTCGTAAAAATTTCTTTAGTTTTTCTATTGTTCACTAATGAGTGAGTTTCAGATGGCGCTGTTTGGCCAAGACATGATGTGATTAATGACATGCTCTGTTAGAAACGGATAGTCATAATCAATGAAGGGAAGTGTTTACAACGCAACTTTGCTAAACATGAGAACACAAGTAGTTATATTAAGAAAAATTTTAAAAATTGACGATTAGCAATCAGAGTCTGTCAAGTTTATAGCAATTTTCCTCTCTCTACTTCTTCGAGTATGTATGAATTTTATATAGGTCTAATTTATGAAAGAGAAAGTTGATGGCTATTGACAATTCATTTTCGAAAAAGTGGAAAGAGAGAAGAAGTGAGACAGATATATAGATGGAAAGTTAGGTAGGTAGTTAGATAGATAGATAGAGGTGGGTGATTGGATGGATAGACAGATAGATCGATAAATAGATAGAAAAAAGGGAGAGAGAGAGAGAGAGAAAGATAAGAGCTGAAGGTGGAGAAAGGAAAAACAAGAGTATTTGCGGAGTTCCACTATGAGAATTTATTAAGATAAAAAATTCCATTATGTTTGTTAAGGTAATAATTGACTTTTTTAAGGCAAGAAGATTTAACTAGATAAATTTAAAAAAAAAATAACTGGTCTCTTCTAAATAAGATTAAAATTTGTAAAATAAGTTTCTTTTACAAGTGAAGAAATGGATAAGGACAATCGTTTGGTAGGTCGAAAATATACTCGTTACCGTCCTGTATATCATTGACATTATACACTTGAAATTGATATAATTCTAGAACTAATTTTCAGGTCATACTTGTTGGTCAATCAGACAAACTTTTTAGACAATTTGATCCAATTTATAAAGATATCGGACAGTAGCAAATCTAGTAAAAACATCCGAGTCTATGTGTGCATAAAGGGCGTGGGATAAAAAATCAGACTGAGAGTGAGAGAGAGAGAGTAGATATTGAGAAAAGAGAGGGTGAAAAAGAGGAATTTCATATCTTCGTATATTTTAATTAATAGTTGATTGGAGTTGTATGAAATGGTACTTGGAAATTTCTTTAAATCAATGTCACGCATTTATTTAAATAGTTGTTTCCTCGACATTAATTTATATGTATATATATATATATATATATATTTTATCCAAATGTGATAGAAAATCGGTAATATAAAATATTAAGCGAGACTTTATAAATGAATATCGGAATTCAATTTATCCGCTCTCCATTTTCTAGATAGTGGAATAAAGAATAACAGGCCCATGGCGCAACTACAGATTGGTCGCCTGAACCGATCCATATATAACTAGGCCTATAATATTACAATTAACAAAATATGATACCGTGTGAAGCGTTTTCAAAATAGTTTGCCATTTTTATTATAAACAAACCTTGGAGCGAATTCTCATAAAAAAAAAGTTTCTTAATTTTTGCTGACTATTAAAAAAAGAGGAAAAAGAGTGAAATATTGAGTGGGAGGGTTATATAGTAAAGTTGGGAAAGAGAAGCTCTCTCTCTCTTGTATATATATAGCGTATATGCATATAATAATACTGTACAAACGACATATATAGTATTTATGTCCAATGTTCACCAATATTCTAACAGGAAGTTTAAAGAAATAATCTAAACTTTTTACTATAAAAAGCCACTATCTATTGCATAAGAATAGACTCAGCAATCTTAAGTCATCTTTGCTGTCAATCACATTCTATCCTATTTCTCACATTGTTTGAAGGACATATTGAACGTTTTCTCCTCTTCAACTCAGTTTAATGTTTGCGTGTTCAATTCTATCCAAATTACTAAATCG